TTTAAGCTTCAAATCACCTTTAAATTACCCTTCTCGATGTAATGACATCTTTTTATAGCATTTACTCTGGTTTTTTACACTACAATATTTCTTTTGTAGTAAAAAAGATACAATGTAAGGTACAAATAGAAAGATTATTAAAAAAAACTGAATAGCCCTGTTACACAATGTCCTCCCTATATATTGACAAAAATCAAATGTCCGGTTGACGTCCTCTTCCACCGACCTTTCCTCTTTCAGATAAATTAGGTGCGACGTTACCCAGTGCCGCGTGCAGCTTTTTTGTATTTTTAGCGTGCGGTCGGACGCTGACTGTGTTTCGTTCGCATCCCCCGGGAGCGGAGGTCTGCCAGCTTCCGTCGTCTCTCGGCTCGTCTATCATGTATGTACAGTACGCACACGGCATTTTATTAATAATGCACCGTGTCTGACAAACATATCGCCGGACTGGCTGGCTGATCCGTCGCTTTTTGTCTCGTCAAAGCGGCAGGAGATTGGCCGACGTGCACGATATTGATAATCCCTTCGGGGACCGGCCAACTTCCGAGGTCTGTTGAGCACAAAAAAAAAGAAATAATACCGTCAGAAGGAAGTTCCGGGGGGAAAATCGGGAACAAATCACTGCCGAAGTTTCCAAATTAATCACTTTTTATCTGTAGAGGAAAAATATCAGCAAGGAAAATAATTTAAAAAAAGAAAATTATTAAATATCCTCAGCAAAGTTAAGAGATAAGCTTAAATCCTTTTGTCCATTTTTCTCTGGTTAATTGGAAATTTTCACAGCAAAATTACAAATCCTCAATAACGGAGATAACGTTTTAAATTTTTTATTAAATAAAATTTTGAAATTTAATGGTATCTTATTTTAGAATTATTAAAGGTAATACACGACACTAAACTCTCACGATATATATTTAAATAATTTGAAAATTATTAAATCTGATCATATGCCAAAATTATAAAATAATATCTACTCGCTAAGACGCGTTATAAGAAACTTTAGTTATTCCACAATGCGGATAAATTTTTAAACTCCCTTTGATAATTTCTTGTTGGGAAAGATTTGCAATAGAAAATTGGAGCGATTTTCAAGGGTGAACAACGTACTATAATATTTAAAATTCTCCAAAAAGCAACACCCTTGAGCGAAGAGCGTTTTGAAAATTGCTCCACTGTCGCTCGCGCTAATCGAGGGAAATTGCTGTTCGCTCGTTGGCAAGCAATCTTGAGGGAAAATCGCGCCGAGAAAGCGGCGGGCGATGAAAATAAATAAGATCGGAATCCAATATCAACATTCCCCCGTGCGCTCATCGCGCGTTTATGAAAATGACGACGACGAGTCGTGTGTGGCGCGCGCGGTGAATAATAAATAACGCACGCGGCGGGGAGCGAGGCCAAATCAAATCGGAAAACGAACTTGTTGCTTTCTTTGGAAATCGCGAGAAAGAGGCGAAGAAGGCAAATAATCGTCGGCGGAGCGCACTTAGCGTTCGTTGGATTATGTCTGCGGAGGCCTATTTACATGGGGCGCCGGCACTACGAGAGGCCCGAGCGCTCCCCAAGGAAATCAGGGCCACTGCTGCTGATAAATAGCAGCGAGAGAAGCACCAAGATCGATGCATCCTGGCCGAAAAAGTGCGAAAACAACGTGCAAAGTAATAAGTTGTCCCAGAGATTTACTCGTTTATTCAAAGTTAGCACTTCTGTTATAAATTTAAGTTTCTATTGTTGATTTGTCGTTCCCAAAATATATAAGCAAAAACAATTAATTGAAATTTATAATTCTGCTGTCTAAAAATAGCTTAAGTTATAAAAGATTCATTTTAATGTTTGCCTAGGTATTTTGTTTTTCAATTTTATGTTGCGTTTCCATTCTGGATGAAATTGTAATATTTTTTAATCCTCTTGTATAAAAGCCGATTTAACTTCTGTACCTCACCTTACAAAACAGAAGGCATCAACAGGCGAGCGAGACAACAATGCGTTGGTTTTAATTGGAAAGAAACTCATTTTCGAGGCGAGAGCAATTATTTTGGGTTTAATTTCGCCTCCGCCATTAAGCCGCAGCCGGTTGATGAGAAATTTACGCCGCGCCGAGCAATTCTGGACGAAAAATTATCTCCTTCTTAATGCTTTTCGCCTCGCTTGCTTGTTGCTCCCAACGGCAGTGCCGGATTTATTTTCTCCGAAATGAGCAGCGGATGCGATGGTGCAGCTGCTTTTTTGTCTCCCTCACGCCTTGTTGCCTTTCGGTGGCAAGAGATGCGCGGGAAATTGGGTTTCGCGCCGGAAAATTGTCACAATTTTCGGCCGGGATTGGAGCGGGCGGGCGGAATCGTCGCAAGATGGAAACCTGATATTTAGGGGGCGCACGCAACAGCAAAGGCGAGTTAGCGAGCAGGGGTGAAATGTGAAATTGCCCGCTTTTATTGCAGTCGAGGAAAGCGAAACTAGGCATTTTTATTTCTACCGTAAAACATGTCGCGAATAAAATTTATCGCTGTGAGCTCCAACCTTTGTTGATGATTCTGTCACACACGTGGAGAGAAAAAGGCATTCAGTTAGAATCAGCGCTAAAATTTGTGGGCCCATGGAATAACAATGGATAGAAAAGCTAAATCCAGGAAAATATAAAATAATTCCCTTCACCCTCATCCTTTGGTATGATTTTTTTAATTAATATTATTTGCTTGTGATTCCTTTAATATATTTTTTTTTACAATATGAAAAGGCTTATTTGTGTTAATCAATGTTAAACTGAAAATTTCATACAGCTCTTTGTTAGTTTACAATTCTGTTCTACGTAATAATGCTCTATGATTTGATAGCCTAAATAATTTGTATTTTAATTTCTGCTTCAATATAAATACTGGCAACGCAAGAATCAAGATTTACATGTAGTTTAACTTAACCTGACTAGTATTAGTATTCCAAATAAAGGTTTTTATTTAAATTTTTTTAATTTATTTTGTTTTAATAATTTGGAATAACAAAACTAAATTATAATTCTTTTATAATAAGAAATTGCAAAATAAATGCAATTTAATAATTAAAAATAATTTATATTAGATAATTGTAAAACATCTCAGGAAAATAATCTTATTTTCAACTAAAATATTTTTAAACTAATAAATTTGTACAATAATAAAAAAAAATTAGGTATATTAATAAAATAACCCTCTTGCGTTTTGACAATCTCTGCTGATTATGTTACATTATTATTCTTTTGACTAATTTTTCAATTTTCACATTTTTCCCATACACGTGAGAAAGAATTATACAATCATAAAATTAAATTTATTAAAAATTTCTACTAACAATACAATTCAGAATATTGAATTCCAAAAGTTAAAATTTTTTTATTTGATATTTTCATTTTTTTTGCCATTTGCACGATCACGATCACCGCACTCTTTCTCTACTGCACAGCCAACCCTATCTTTCTGTTAGGGTGCTGTGAGGGTTGTGCAGCAGTTGTGGTACCCGCGGGGCTTCCGACTGCACTTACATTGAAACGTACCTACCTTTCCGACTGACGAGGAGAGCGCGAGTTCTTGCACACGCGGCCCTTTACGACACGTCAAGTTGTCCTCGGTGCGGTTTCTGCGTGCGAATGTGCGTGTCGAGCTACGAGAGCTGCTGCAGCCCCCTCGTTGTTCGCTTGAAATATTGTTTGACGAGAGAGAACGAGCACAGAGAGCAGCTGCGAGGGAAGAAAAACAGAACAAGGGGCTTGAATACAAAAAACTATAGAAGTATGATAGGGATATTTTAATTAACAAAGAATTATAATATCCCATTCACAACATTGACAGATATGTTAAATCTGTTCCAATATTGGATTATTTTTAACCTCACATTTTTGCAGAGCATTAAATTTACTCGACATCTCCAGTATGAATAGAAAAGAAACTCATAATGGGTAGTATTAAAACCAGCTAAATATTATTGCATTTCTAAAACGTCGGAATGTTGATTTTGTTAAAAGAAATTATCAAATAAATATTTAAATAATTAAAAAAAGTAAAAAAAAAATTTAATAAAAATTTTAAATTTATTTTATTAAACTTAATGAACAAATCCAAAATACAGTTTTAATAACTAAACTTTTAAAAGGAGGTAACGGAAGAAAATTCGCTCTATGAGTGAACTTAATTATCTTCTCCATCTCTCATTTTAGTTCTGAATGAATTCAAAGTGCTTCTTCGAAGAGCCCAAAGCCACAATTTACTCGTGTCTGCCGCGAAATTATACTCTCTCCGCGGATCATTCGTTTCTCTCTTCTTGCAGACCAAATTGTGATGCGAACAAAATCCGTCAGTTTCTCTTTGGTTCTTCTCTGCTTTCACTACTTGTTCGCAGAAAAGCAAACAGAGCGGCGAAAATGAAATTTCCTCACTGGCTCGCTAGGCCGCGAAAATTGCGAGAGGATATTTTAATAAGCAGGGGGCGAAATTAACAAAAGAAAGAGAGAAAAAGAGAGACGAGAGACGCCCGGCCGCCGGGATATAAAATGTAAATCCACTGGGCAAAGAAATCCAATTAAAAAGAGCTCTGGCAAAGAGCAAAAGCCTCCTCTCACCATTTTTATATTTCATATCAAAACCGGAGAGAGGAAAGCAGAAATGAATGAGAGAGAGAGAGAAAGAAAGAAGAAAAATCCCTACTCGCGTTTAATTTGCAAAGATTTGCATAACAAAGATCATGACGAAAGCTCAGCCTCAAGCTCGCTGTGGAGGCTGTGGAGGAAAAATATAAAAATTCCGCTGCACTTTTTAGCCCTTGCGCAAACAGTAGGAAGAGTGGAGTCGCTCAATTATGTACATATTCGAGCAGCAGGGCGATAATGAGCTTTCGAGTGGGCCAATTACTTAGGGGCTAATTCGGAAAAGAGCAGCAGCTGCTCCTCCTCGGCCGCGGCGAAAAATAATAAATATAAAACGAAAGCGAGAAGGCTTTTAAGGAGGAAGCCGCAGCAGCGAATAAAAGCAGTCTTTGGTGGTTTTACTACCGTTTTTAATTATTAATACAAACTCTTAAATAATCCAGCAGGTATTATGTATCAGAAGAAGCAGCTTAATAACGCACACGACTAAGTTAAGGTATAAAAAGTGGAGCGTATTAAACAATTAATATATAATATTTATCAAAAATGTTAACATGAAAAGGTTAAAATTCTTTTAAATTTATTAAAAATAACAAGAAACGCTCCGGGAAAAAGGTCTGTTGTTTGCTATTCACAAGATAATACAAGAACAACAGGCGAATTTGCATGAGAAAATGACACGCGCTCTGAAAATATACTGTGTGTGATGAGGGAAAAGGAAAGAGTGTCAGGCAGTAAATTTCACGCCCGGATAGGACGAAAATGGCGTTTTTACTCCTTGTAGCCGGTGAGCTCTTCTTTCTCCCGGGCGATTGCCTTCACCAGAATCAGCGTCATCACAAAATTCACCGCCTAAAAACAAAGATGAAACAAAAGATTAGAATAAACAAACACGTGCAATAATTAATAGAATAATTATTGTCTTAAAATAAATATTTTATTAACGTTTTAGTAATAAAACGATCCAATCGGTGATAATTTTTCTTAAAGGCAACTAAATTTAATTAGATTTTGCCTCTTTAAATTACAAATCTGATGGAAAAAATATAAATTATTTTCAAGAGATCAGGATTAAAGTAAAGTGATTTAATAAAAACGGTATTTTCTCAAAAACAAATTACACAAAAACTCAAAGTTTGCTGAATACAATCATCAGCAGAAGAGAAAAATAACTTCAAAAAATTTGTTGATTGGATATTGCAGAATACCAAAATAAGTGATATTTTGCAAATAAATTATACGGATTCAGAATAATTTGGGTGTAAGATATTCTATATACCAAGGTATTTTCAATCTTTGTGTTATCCTCAGGGCTTAACTTTAACGCCTCCCATACACAAGCAGATATCCTTTTCAATATCGGGCACTAGGATCAAATTTCAGCTTCCAAGCCCACGCTGCTGCTTTTTGCAGGCATCAATATCAAAGCGGAGGTTTTCGCGCGTTATTATATGTTGCACTGGAACGACCTATGCGCGCTCCCTCAACTTCGCTCGGTTATTCTCGCAAAAATGATCTAACAAGCTCTGGCAAAAAAGCAGCATGGAGCGCCGGGGCGCCGCGGGCGAATAAATAGACGGGGCGAAGTTTCAAAAGTTGCGCTTTGAAGGGCGGAGGGGACACGCGCGCGCAACCCTTTATTTCGCCGGGATAAAAGATCCCTGTGTCGAATGCAAAAGAACTCCAAATTACGCTGCGAGCCGTCGAAATTTTATTTCCAGGAAAAAAATAATGAAAAAGAGAAGCAGAAAAAGCTTTGGTTTTTCACATAATAAACATGTATTTTGTTCGAAAAGAGAAAGAAAAGAAAAGTGTTGACGAGGGATAGAGAATTGGAAGAGGCAAAAACACGCTGCGTGGAAAAACACTCATGAAGAATAATCACGCGGATGGAAATGAACGCATTAAATATTCAGAAAGGAAGGAGCGCAGCGGCCTCTTTTTGACATCTACACACGCACCTTCTTTTGAAAGCAGACGAGTTCACGCTCTCTCCCGGTGAGAGCGAAATAAAGCTTTCAACCTTGGCTGAATTTTTTTTATCGCCGCGAACGTGTGTTTCAGCAAAGGCAAATGGGAAAGCGAAAAGTTGCTCTATAGGAAAAATGTTGCTCTGAACAAAACAGCTTTTGAAAATACGCCTTGACTTTTCCCTTCATGAATTTTAAACTTATTTGAATGCAAAAAGCTAGAAAAATAACCTCTTATAATGATAATATGTCAATGTAGGGAAAGTCAAGCTGGGAAAATTAAAGATTTACAACATTATTTTGATTTTACCCGCTATAATTGTAATTGAATTGCTTTAATAAAATAAATTATTTTCTTGTCAACAGATTAAAATGATAATTAGAATTAGATTGATTTTTTTCAGAAAAGTGGTAAATCATTAAAATGATTTTGTAAAAAAAAAAAATATCAGCAGAACGTTTTTTTAACAAAATGAATATGTGAATCGCTTTTGTAGTCCAATTTAACAATTTATTCAAGAAATTTTGCTAAAATGTAGTGTGATTGCAAGACAAATCGTTTCGCAAACAATTTCCCTCTTTTATACGCAAAAAATCACTTGGAAAAGCAATGAACGCGAGAAGGAACAAAAAGATTTCAGCGCGGCAGACAAAAGGCGTGTCTGCCGTTTTCTCCTCTCGCGAATTTCCATCGAACGAATTCGCCGCAGAGAACTGCTGGAAATAACTATATTTATCGCTTCGCCATTTGCGTATATGTGCCGAGAGTACTTGTGTAATTCCGGCCTGCTCTCGGATTCTGGGTATATAAATAAGCACACTACAAGACTGTGTATATGCGGGGCGGCGGCGCCGCTGTTTGCTCAATTAAAATGCAAACAGCTTTTGTTATCGCTCAAGTTGATGTTTTTATTAAGAATTCCCTCCTCCCACCCGGCTGCGTTCGTGCAAATTCATTAATTTCGCCGTGAAGATACTCCTCTTCCAACGGGCACAAAGCAAGACTTGGGTGCTTTTGCTTTGATTACAGCCGAGTAACGATTTTATTATCAAGATGCTCGCTGCTTCACGTGCGCCCGCTCCTTCCTATACACCAAGCCGCCGAGACGATTTCGATCTTTGTGGTGTTTTATACGAGTGTGTATATTATTTGGGTGCTCATTAAAATTTATGCCTGCAACGCCAATGCAAATGGAGCGACTTCGATTTTCTAGGAATTGCCACGTCTTATTCGTACCAAAGATCATGCAGGGAGATTCACATTTGCGAAAATAGTTCTTGGAATTAATTCAACAGAAACATAAGAAAAAGATAAGAATTGTCTATGGAAATTGCTTTACAAATAATTTTGATTCTTAGATGTTAGTTAAATAATTTGTACATAATTTAATTCTTTGAAAAAGGAGCTGCCTTCCCCAATTGCTTAAAAAACCTACTTACAAATAAATAAATAAATAAATTAATTTGTAAAAAATATAATTTTATTTTATTATTTATTTAAAAATTATAAATTTTAGAAAATATAGTTCAAACACTTGCAAAATGATTTCACATTGTCGCAATTTACTTGCATTGTTTTAATTTTAAATTTAAAAAGTGCTTTTCAAACATTGAATTTGGATAATAGTGACATCAGTATAAAATTATTGGCATCAAAACTTGCGCTTCTCCCTTCAAGTATCGGAATAAAATATAGGCTCTTGGTTCAAGATTTAAATTTCAAAGTGGAGATAATTTATCTGGTGTGCGGTTGAAAACAAAAAGCGATTATTTCCCGGCGAGCAGCCAGCTCTTACCGATCACCAAATTTATTGGCCTGGCAGCATCAGAGCAAGGGAGTGAGTGAGTTGGGCTTGAATTAATGCGATTTTATTCGAGCGCGCAAAAGTGGGTGCTCGGAGGCGGGCGGGCGGACGCTTTTCACCTGGAAAGTTTTGCAGCCGCCTGCTTTCTTTTTTTGCTTCTGAAAGGATTTGTTTGCTCAAGACTTGAGCAAAGTCTTTTGATTTAAATTTCAGAAAGCTGATCGGGGAAGTAGAAATTTGGGAACTTTCTTGGCTGGGGGCGGCCAAGTAAATGTTAATAAAATTTTATGGAAGTAGTTTGAACTTGATCAAGCTTGTAAAATCCCATATTATATAATCCTCCAGGGCAAACTTTTTCAGATTAAAGAAAATAATTTTTTTTCAAAAGCTCAAAGGGGGTCATATTTTCTTTTTGTTAAATTCAGTTGCAGATTTGAGCGATTGCTAGAAATTTATCAAAGAAATCGAAAGAGCGAATTATAGCTGGTGAAACTTAGAATGATGTAAGGTAAAAATTAGGTATTTTTAGCTGTTTTTCTAATTTAAAAAACGGACTTTTGGAGAACGAATAATTTGTAATTAAAAAACAGTTTGCAATTGTATGATTTTTCACGTGGAAACAACAACAATAATACAACTTCATTGAAATATTGTGATGATATAATTTTTTTCTTCATTTTGGTGGAAAATTATTCCGAAAATTTCAATTGGTTAATTTTACATGAATTACTTGGTGCTAGATTGTTCTAAAAGGATATCTGGAATTGGCTTGCCTGAAACGTTTCCAAAATGATTTTGCTTTTTGCAAAATTAATATGCGAGGAAAATGAGCTGAAAGCACTCAAGCGCGTGTGGGCTGATTTGCGAAAACCGCTCTCGTTGCGCACACTTGAACACGTCAACAAACGCGCATAAATCGGCCCGCGGGATCTTGCGGGAAGCGACTTTCGCTGTTCAATCGGGGCCGCAGGGCGAAATATATACATTTGAGTGAAAAGCGGGCGAGTCCTAATTCAGCAGGTCTCCATCAATCTTGTTATCAGCATCGAATTCCGCCGCACTTCCAATACACCCGCTGGCAGCTTTTATTGAGCGGCCCATAAATTTTCATAATCTCTGGCCTGCGCGCTCTCTCTCTTTCCAAAATTTAATATGATCCCTCGCTGCTCTCGGGGATTAAAGAGGCAGAGAAAAAAACTGATGATTGGCACGGAGCAGGAAAAATGTCCGCCCTGACTGCCGATTTTTTCGCTCTCTCCAATAAGAAAGGATTCAATTACGCAGGCAGGGCCGTGTGGTAATATAAGATGCCTGCGCCCGAGAGCAAGCGGCCTTATTGCTTGTGTGTGTATGGAAAAGCCATTATACATACAAGCAAGCCAACGAAAAAGGGCCGATCCGCAATCTTGGCCGGCAGCAGCTTTTACGACTCGGCTCGGCCCACGTGAGCCAGGGCTCGAAATTTCATTTGGTGTTTTCTCCATCAGGGCCGCAAGCAGGAAAAGGAAAAGAAAACCGGATTTCACTGCTTTATTGAATGACATCGAAAAAAGATTCCAATCGGATAGATATTGAGATATTTTTTTTTTATGTTCCGAAATTGTCAATCAGAAAGATATTAAAAAAAAAAAATTAATTTCATAATGAGACTAGAAAGAAAATAGCCATCAATTTTCAGTCATATTAAATTCGTAAAATGTTCTGGAAAAAAAATTATTGTTTATTTTTAAATTGAAAATTAATTATCAAGGCAAAATGATTAATGAAAGTTAAAGAGGAAAAAAATTGAATTTTCCGATTAAAAGCGCCTAATAAAATAATTCAAAGACAAAAATATTAAAATGCAGATGGAAGGGACAAAAGTATGCTTTAATATTTTTGGCCTTATTTGGTTAAATTGCATCTTGGAAAAGCCCGAAAGAAGTTTAATGTACATATTTTGAATTCAGGGAACGATCAGTTCTCGCTGTAGAAAATTAGACAGATAATAATTTAGTGTGTCTCACCTTGAAGAGGGCAAGGAACATGGAGATACCAGCGAGCCAGGCGGCCTTCTCCTCGATGAAAAAGGTGAACTCCTCGACGCATCCGTAGAAATAGGCATTTCCGGTCACGGTGTCGCGACACTCTGCTGGCAGCGGCTTCTTCAGCGAGATGTAGTCCTGTGCCCCGTCAGCGCCGCAGCATCCGATCTGCAATGATAAATTCACGATTACATTTCGCCCAGAGCTGTCGCGGTTATAAATTCGTCATCACGATGTGAGAAAGTTCCATTTCCTGATTGAAATAAAATGTTATGGCAATTTCTGTTATAAGAAGTTGCACTGTTCGAGTGCAAAACTTAACATCGTAATTAATAATATAAATATTCATATTAAATTATTTAAAAAATGTATAAATAATTTATATTACATATAATTTTATTTGTGTTATTTTTAATTTATGGGAATTAATTTTTTTTATTCAACTATTAAGCTATTGAGTCACAAATCAAAATGATAAAATTCGTAAAATTTAATTTAAAAAAGGTGACAAAATTCTAGTTATACTGCTGTTTTGATCTAAAATTAAATATAAAATAAGCTGAGCACAAAGAGCTGATATTGAATATTAGAAAATAGTAATTAACATAACTAATTTTTCAAGATTTGCTGCCTTTGCAAAAATTTAAATTATTATATAATCTCATAAGCACAATTTAGCTAATGCACAAAACTTATCTTACTTTGAATGGTAACACTGGAGGTGCATTTCATAAAAAATTAAAAGTCGGCAAACCTCATTGCAAAGAACATAATTACATGAAAAATAAAGAACATCAGTTGTTCTTTATTTCAGTTACTGAATCCAACCGACTTCCACTTGAGTTTAGTTTGGATCTAACAAAAATCTAGGTTTTTAAGTACCAGCAGACCGCGGGTCGACTTTTGGTGTCAGGGTTCCTTTTTATATGTACACTCGTACCTCACAATCCTCATCTTGAAAAAAATTACATCTAAACCTCTTTAAATAAAATCATAAATCTTAAGGAAATCGAAGAAACTAAATAAAGGCGGAAGTTTTACTCACTTGACATTGTTTTTGAGTTGTTTCATAAAGTTTAAAATTACAGAGAATGTAGAAAAAAATTATTTAATTCGTTTTAATCAAAGGAAATTTCTCGTTCATATTTCACTAAACAGCATTTAACGTTGGAAACTTCTGGAAATCCCCCTTGAATTCACAGCTCTCGTAACCCTAACTCAAGGTGCGTTTTTCTTTTACAAAAATTTCTCCATCTCGTCGCTTATTTTTTCCTACTTCTTGCAAATGCGACGGCACGTCTCTCGTGTTCCCGGCAAAGCGAAAAAGGCGTCGTGGGACGACTTGAAACTCATTAAGCCGCTCATCACTTTTTCGTTCGCGCACCGCCAACACCGCGTCGGCGGAGGATTCGCTGCCTAGCAGCCCAAATTTATATGCAAATTCTGCCGAGAGAGCAAAACACGACGACGATTTTTTTCTTTCTATTTTCGCACAAAATGAGAAGAGTCTGGTGAGAGGGAAATTTTTCAAAAATATCACGTTGAAGGCAAAGATGGATTAATCATAATTAAAGGGCATTTGTGGGATTAATGGGCGCATTAAAACTTATCCCCATCGAAAGTTAAGGAAGAGTAATTAATATATCTCTTGATGTATAATTAGTGTGGGTCTAATTTGGCGCGTTTCATCTGCAGGTGAAGCCAATTAAAGCGGCAAAGTCGTTTTCCTCCCCGGCCCGATTTCGCGATAATAATAATAATAAGCCAATCAATTGGGTCGGCGCTAACGAAGTTTATTAACGACGCGCACTTTGGCAGAATATTAAAAGGCATTAATTTGATATTATCGTCGTATCGAGAAAGCAATAAACGCCGCGAGCCGAACTCTGCAAAGAATGTATAGTTACTAGAGGCGTCGTAAAGCAGAGACGATATTAAATTTTATTTATACACCAACACACACCCCGTTGCCAATCGTAAATTTTAATTAAGACGTTCTGCAAAGCCAACGCTTTCGGCAGAAGCTCTTTCTTTCTTCCTATCTTTCTCTGCGTAGCACGTGGAGGAGGGCGCTCAAAAAATATTCATTTCCTGCGCCGGGGGCGCTGGAGAAAGAAACACAGCACGTTTCGTAGAAGCCAGAGGTGCAGCACGTGAATATATTTAAATTAATTCGGAAAATCTCAGCGAGGAGGAGGAGGAGGAGGCAGGAAATTAGATTTCGCGGGGCCAAATCCAATTTGATTCGCACCGTCGAGGGGAGCCGGCATTTGCCAGGCAAAATCATTTTGTTTCATTTCACTTCCGGGAAAATTATTATGTGACGAAAGAAATGATGAAAAGAACAAATCGACCCTGTTTCCGATTTGCTCTCGTTTTCAGTTCGACGAGTGTGAAGCATAACATGTTACTTGATATCTATATCAAAGAAAATCAAAGAAAAACCCAAATTTTGAGGTTTATTATTGACACAATGAATTTAATATAATTTTGCAGAAGAATTTCACAATCTAATTTAAGGTGAGCAGGATGTTTGCTTTTTTCTACAAAATAAAAAAACTAGTTAAGAAAAGCCATATCTTTGATAAACTTCAAACGTCAAAAATTTTTGTTCTCTCGCAAGAAGGGATCCTCTTTACTAAATGGTTTACCTTAATTATATAAATCTGACTAATAACATAATTATTGTACATAAAACTCTATGTTATGTTAATTATTTCTCTTCATCAATCAAATTTTGTAAATTTTCCTGCTTCGGAGATAGTGCCATTTTAGTAAATCAGCTGTAACTTTTGATTGGTATGAAAAAAAGTTTTGAAATTTTAAACACAAGTAAGAACATGATGACGAATCGATCAATGTGCCATATGACCAACCTTTCCTGGCTTTCCCATATTTTCCAACCCTATTTGACCCTTGTTGGGAAATTTTTGATTTTCTCAAAAATGGAATATGCAAAAATAATTTCCTTTGAGGAAGTTTGTGCCTATGAGTGACGTCAAATTTTGGCTATCTCAGATTTAATTTTCCGGTTGCATACCTTCAGGGGCAGGCATCTAAATTTTTTGACCCTGATTTCAGGGTACTTAACCCTTTCATAGAAAAACATCGTCAATGCAAAAAACATAGGAAATTTAATCAGCTTTCAGAATATATGCTGTTTTTTGTTGTAGGACCTTTACTTAATGAGATACAAGCTTAATAGCAAACCCTTACTAATTTCGCCATTTTCTGGAAAAGTCGGAAAATTTTTTCATGGAACCTCTTATAATGGCCAAATAAAAGCAATAAATGGGTTGGAATTATTTTGAGGTCATTTTTTCAAATATTGGCAAATTTAGTGGGGAACAAAGTACATGAGGAAATAATATCTTTTCAGATAACATTACTTTATTACTTTGAGAGAAAGATAAAATATTATTTATTGTAACTGTTAATTATTATTGCAATTGATTTCACTTCTTCATAAGCATTGTTAAAAATATTTTCTTAAAAAAAATTGTAAATGCATAAAATATAATTTATTAAAAATTATATTAACAGATAAAAAAATAAAAGTAATATATACTAAATTTGAAATTGCATCAAGTATTTTTATACAAATATAAAACCTCCATGGCAAAACTTTTTGTGTCTGCCTCTGGACTAGCCGCTTGACAGCCTCGGATTTAAAATGTGGGTCTAGCAAAAAGATTTTAGGAGAAAACGCGTGGCAAGCAACATTCGTGTCGGACACGCCGTAAACAACGGCCGAAACAAAAGGCGAGGAGGCGTTTCGATCCGTCACTGTTGGGCTAATTTGAATTGGAAAATCCGAGCACAAACAAAACAAATAATGGGCGCCGCTGCTGCTGGAAAAAGGAAAGAAAGAGAGAGAAAAGTCGCCTTCTTTTCTTCTCCTTGCAATTGATTTCTTTCTGCTTGGTCGCCTCTTTCTTTCTTTCTTTCGTTCGGAGCGACGAGCTGAGTGAAGGCAAAGAGAAAAACGTAACAAAGCGAGTGAGCGAGAGAGGAGGTGCAGCGTCTGCAAATGCGATATGCAAATATGCTGCAGGCGAAGCAATAAGATTTAGATACGCCGGAATTCGCCTGCTCTCTCTCTCTGCTCGGCTGGATGAGATAGAAAGAAGCAGCGAGTTCCATTCTATTCAGCAGAAATAAAGAGAGTTTCTCTCTTTTCAAGCCGGTGACGCGGTAATGACGTGCGAATGCGCGAGTCGATTCGCAGAAATCCCGGATTAGCATTTCGAGAGCGCGGCGATTTTTCAAAGTACTCTCAGCGAGTGAGCAGGTAAATCTATTTTTTACCCGGCCGCTTTTCAAAAGAACCCCCAGCACATAAGCCGCTCACGTGCGAATCGGCTCAGCACAAGCAGAAAGTCTTATCGGTCCGATATTGTTGTCGTCTAGGCGCCAAACTGTATTCACTCTCGTGCAGATTTACTTGCCATGACGCCGCCGATTTTTCTTCGGCGATTTTCAGGGAACAGCTTTGGAAAGGGGGAAATAGATTTTCTTTTCTAAGAAAGAATGAAATCTATTTTGGAGTCCAAGCGTGTCTGAGAAAAAAGCCGAAAAATTGAGATTTATATTTTATTTCCTTTAATTTTTTAATACTGTTTAAGATGGAACTGATATTTTGGTAAAATTTAATAATGTTTTGAAATAAGCACTAATGAAAATATGGAAAATGTATGAAAAACACACAAACACGATTTTTTTTGGTCAAGATAAATTTAAAATTTTAAAATATTTAATTATTTTCTTATTCCCATTGAATAATAAAGGCAATTATCACGCAATTACATCCATTGGTGTTAATTTTGTATTTAATATTCTATTTATATTTTGTACAGCTCTTCAAAGTTCTCATGTTCTACAGAAAGTTTTCTCCATATTAAAACATAAAAAGTCTAGAATTCCCTTCTTTCCCACAATCAGATCAGATGTTATATATACAAATTTGTTCATAATGCAAAATGTAAAACAGAAAACTTAAAAGCGATGATTGCCAGACCATTTTTATGAGGGTTTTTCCTTGGATAATGAATTCCATCCCAAATTGGGATAAAAATTTATAAATTTAATTTTCTTCAAAACTCTAAATAAAATTAAAATATTGATACTAAAATTATAAATTTTTGTAGTATGCAAATTAATAAAAAAGT